GAAAAAATATTTTTCTAAAAACTTAAGAAAATGTTACATTATTTTTCATCAATTTCTTTGCCATTTATATATTAACAGAGAAATATTTTTTGACTAATTTGTTTAGATATCAAGCTCTCAATTTTTTGAAATTTTAATTTGTTTAGATATCATGTGTTGTACCTAGAAGACAAGACATCATGGATACACTAAAAATGAAGCATGGGTTAAAGAGAAGCATGGGTTAAAGGAGAGCATGGGAGACATAAAAGCATGGGTTCAACATTGGTAAACTAAAGCATGTGTAAACTAAAGCATGGGTTAAAGAGAAGCATGGGTTAAAGGAGAGCATGGGAGACATCAAAGCATGGGTTAAATGAAAAGCATATCATTTATTCTTCTATATATAGATTGTAAATCAAAGCAAATCAAATAAGAAAAACATACACTTTTTTCTCTCTTATTCTTGGTTCCAATAATTCTCTCATCCTAAAACTCTAAACTCTCCAATGATATTCTTTATCCTTAATCTCTCATTTTAAATATTTATTCCGCATAATTCTAACACAAAGATGCTTCATTTCCAGTTTTCATAAGCTCTACATCAAAACGCAGATTCCAGCAAAACTAAGCATTTGAAAAAGACTGTGTTACCTCGTCACAATTACAAAGCCCATTGGGCCAATATATTTAAAATACTCTCTCCTCATTTTTGGTTTAATAATGTTTTAAGAAAAGTCAAAATCCCTAAACCTTGTCGTCTCCTTCGTTCATCTTCTCTTCTCTCTTTTTCTGTTGTCGGCTCTTTTCACAGCTTTTTTTGTTTTTTCACTCTTTTCACTATGGTTGGTTTTTTTTTCTGAGTGGAGTGATCAATATTTCGAAACTGGTATTTATCATGACGTTGAAAACCTACCTATTCCAGACAGTCGCATTTTGGCCCATCTTTCGCGGAAGATTGAAGATGGTTTAAAGTAGCTTGACAGCAGATTCCACATCATTCGTAAGGTCGCTTGTGGTGGTTCACATGTTTGGAAGTACAAGGAG